TCATATTCAATGCAAGAAAATAATCACAGTGGAAGGATGTGGAATACCTTGACTTCTAATTAACACTCCATTCCCTTCAACGCTTCTTCTCTCTCTTCTTCCTCTTCCTCTTCTTCTTTGCTTTATTTCGTCTTCTTCTTCTTTTTCTTCTTCTTCGTCCTCTTCTACTTCTCCCTCTCTCTCTCTCATTCTTCCTAAACTTTTCTCCCTCGCCTACCTCTCCAACCTCCGCCTCCTTTACTCCATCTGCTTGCCTTTTCTCCCCTCTTCTCTCTTTACCCCCCCCCCTACTTTCCCTTTTTCTTCCACTCCGTCCATTCCGAATGGAATGACTTGTTTTCACTCGTGTACACTTTATCTCCAACCTATAATGTATCCTCTACTTTCCCATCTTTTTCACATTTTCTTACATCGTTTCCTACTACGAGCCTTTACCCATATGTTCAGAAAATCAAAATCCCCTTAATTTTGTTTGGTTTAATTATTTTTTTGTTGCCAACCTATGCATGATTAATGAAGGCACGATTAATGATTGTTACTAAACATGATTGATATATGAATGTAATGTATATTGATCAATGTTTAATGTATAATTGTAACTATACATCATTAATATATAATTGTTATTTATATGCATGATGCATGAATGCAAACATGTATTCCTTTTATATGAAATAAAGGCATGATTTAACAACATTACACCAGACAAGTAGGCAACCAATATGTGAATTGTTGATATATATATATATTTTGTAAACTGTTAAAACATGCATTTCATTTGGAAGGATAAGTTCACATGGCTAGCCCTTGAATAATAATTTGTGAGTGTTTGTTTTTCGTGACTGCTAAAGCATGTATGTGTTACTATGCTCATCAACTAGGGGACCTACGCCCTTAAGTCATAACTTAAGTCATAAAAGGGCACTGTTATAGCACATCTACACGGTTTTGATCCTGGGGAATCACAGTAACGAGGTCATTGCTTAGCCACTGAGACATGACTATACGCAGCGGGGGCTAGGGTAAGTCGCCGCCCCCACAAATACAAAAAACAAAGAAAAATGCAATGAATTATCATTAATTCATTGCATATTGCCTCGATCCCCAACATTGACAAATGTTGTATGTGGGCATGCCTTAAACCATAATGCATGGCTCGACAGAGGAATTTTCCTGTTGGGGACCGGGGGAAATTGCAATGAATTATTGATAACTTATTGCATTTTCTTTGTTTTGTTGTGTTTGTGGGGGCGGCGATGTACCCTAACACCCGCTGCGTACGGTCATGATTCAGTGGCTAAGCAATGGTCTCGTTACTGTGAGGCCCCAGAATAAAAACCGTGTCGATCAGCTTTATTAGTGCCCTTTTGTGAGGCATTAATCTTCATTACTATCAGTTATGACTAAAGGACGTTTAACTTAGTAGGTCCCCTAATGACCAGACCAAATGTGCTATCATCTTTAATGGTAAAGTTACGGAATGGTTCCAAGTTATGACAGGCGTCAGGCAAGGCTGTTTTCTTTCCCCAAGCCTGTTTAACATCTTCCTAGAGTTCGTGATGGCAGATGTCAACAACCTCGACAGTGGGGTTCAGATGGGTGACATACGCATTAATAACATCCGATATGCAGATGTCGCCACTCTACTCAAACTTATCTATGACAAACTCCAAACATCAACTAACAAGCTGGTGGAAGTATGTGGTAAATGGGGGATGAAATTCAACACAGCTAAATGCAGAATCATGACAAACGACGTTGAGGAGATTTCAATAGATGGCAATCGTCTAGAGAAGATAGACAACTTTGTCTTCCTTGGAAGTGTAGTCCCCTCGATCACCGAGGATGTCAAGAGACGCACAAATCTAGCTTCCTGGGCATTTGGCAGACTGAGAAACAATATATGGACCAACAAAGATATTGCAAGAGCCTTGAAGGTCATGATATATAAAGGCCTCATTCGTCCTACACTCTAAAAAAAAGATACCCAATATTGGGGAAAATTTTACACTTTACGAGGGTAAAAAAAGGGGGGGTGCTGAAAAAGGCTCGTATAACAAAAGAAAAAGGTCGACCCGTATTGACTTTACACACCGGACTTTTGCTGAAAAGGGGGGGGGGGGGGGTGCTGAAAAAGGCTCGTATAACAAAAGAAAAAGGTCGACCCGTATTGACTTTACACACCGGACTTTTGCTGAAAGGGGCGGGGGGTCGCTTGGAACACGCATTTGCGTACCCTAAATAATCTTCTTTCATATGACACCTCAAACATGGTTAAATGATGTTTCCGTAGGAATGCAAACTCTAAAATCGTTAGACAGTGGTTAATTTATACATGGCGGCCTTTTTAACGAAGGGCCACGAGTTTGATGCAAGTGTGTAAAGACGGGTGAATTATTTTACAGGAAAGTCATTTATTGTCACAATGCTTGTAACTCCTGATTTTGTACATGATACCAAGGGGTGTATAGGCTTATCTTATGCAAACTACAACGGTCAATCAGAAGCGACGCGGGGTTGCACAAAATGATATCAATATTTATTTTGATATCCTTTATCAGGCATAACACAAATGTAATCTGCATATGATGATAAATATGTTATTCATCAACTACTAAAACCCTAAAAATAGATGTGACACATATCCACGTCGTAATAAGGTAACCTGCTTTGAAATTGTATTTGAAAGCAGATAGTTCTAACTATTTATACCCTAATTATGGTATGGAATTAAACCTTATTATTTTATAGTATTTTCACCTCAACGAATTGTTTCTTAAGACTTTTGTACGCAGAAATAAGGCTGCGTATTAATGAAAAAATGTTGCTTTGGCGTGGTCCCTGCGTAGGTTATGCGTAGGCTGGCGCACATTGGCGTATGGTTACATACCCGGTACATAGGCCCCACTTACCCACGGCGTATGCAATTGGCATACGTACGAAACGGTGGGGTTGGTTCATGTTAGTTGTGCTCGTGTCCCGGTAGAGATTTATAATAATTTTTCTGAACATTTTTTTGATTGGAAATGTCCGAGGTGCATTTTGAAACAATTGCCATTTTATGAGCATGATGATAATGATTTGTATTAAGATGCACCCTCTGCAGTTTGTCAAACAGTAGCATGTAAATTTGGTAATGAGGGGAAATTCGATGTTTTACGTGAAAAGGGACTTACATGTGTGCAATTAAATATTGTGAGTTTGTTGGAAAATGTTGACGATTTGATGTCTATTTTAATCCAGAATGATATCCATGTTTGTGCTTTAATTAAAACGAGGCTTCACGCTGAAATTAATGATACTGAAGTCTCGATATCTGGTTATTTACTTATACGGAAAGATCGTAATCGAAATGGTGGGGGTGTGGCCATTTACATACAAAATAATATTGATTATAAAGTTCTAGAAGATCACTCCCTGCTGGAATGAGAAGCAATCCTTATTACTATAAACATAAAGAACTCTCAACCTATCCTATTTATGAATTGGTATAGACCACCGAGTTCCAGGCGTGATACGGGTAAACCCGACACTTTGCATCGTGCATTTGCTACACAACATTACATAAGTTGATAGTCATAGTATCTCCTTGATACGGATGTAGAATATGCATGCCATATCTCTGTCGTCACGCATATCATGCATTATGCATACCGCCTCTGTTTTCGCCCTGGACGTCGACACCGAGGCGGACATTGGGCGAAGTATAGCCAACTTGATGGAGTAGACTCTCCCGCGGACGATGGCACCCTGCACCATTACCCAGAGGGAAGGGTTCAGGAGGAGATAGATGTACCAACTTTGGTCGCCGATCTCTTAAAAAAAACAATAAAATACATGGGCTCGCGGAGATGTCATGCCCCCCAGCGGAGATTAACCGTATTATATAGATAGACTAGCTGTTTGCGCCCGTTAAACGGGCGCTCTTTGCTGTGGCAGCCATTCTGTGTTTGCGTGGCGAGCTTCTTTTCGGTTAATACCTGTAAGAAACGTCAATGAAATATATCAACCGGTTCAATTTAAAAAAAATTAAAATTCACTTCAGCTCAGAAAATACAGCATCTGCTGCAATTACGGCCGGGATTCTAGAGGGGGGCGGGGGGTGTAAATAGATATATAGAGACTTTTTGATTTAAAACCACCAAGAACTGTATTTGCAAATTAGAGGAAACCATTAGTTCCTACCCAACTTTATTTGCCATTTTGAGGACACCATAAGTCTAACTTGTTGGTATTCACATTGAAATATCCACGGGATTATAGGGGGTTGGGGGGGGGGGGGGCTGTAAAATGTTAATAGATATATGCGCTCTCGAAAATAATATTGATTTAAATACAAACAAAATTAAGGTTAATTTTTATATAATTTAACATCCTTTTTTTTCTTTGGAACATTTTTGTCTTCTTTTATTTTCATTTTTATTTCTCTTTCTTGTATATGATTACTTTTTATTTATTATTCCATTTTCTTCTCTTTTTATTTATATTTTATACTTGTAAAGATATAAACCTTTTCTTTGTCTTTTAATGTAGCGTTTTGATTAATTTTTTTTATCTGTACCATGTAATAAAAATTGAAAATTGGAAGAAAAAAGTGAGATCAGATATTTGTAATTAAAATTTGTTGCAGATAATTTATAATTTAATTTCGTTTTCACTTTCGTTATTTATGATTATTGTCTTCAATTGTTCCTATCCATTTTCTCCCTTTCGCTTTCCCATTCTCTCTAGTATCTAGCAATACCATTCCATTTCACTCCCATTCTCACATTTCCTTTTTTCACACATTACTAAGTTAATTTAGTTCTACACTGAAAATAATATATTAATTGATGTATTCACATATTTTCCATCTTTTGCTTAATTTCTCTCATTTCTTGGATCACAATGCTGACATGATAGTAGATTATAAATGAAATTGACTTTCAAAGAGTCTATCAATAATTAAAAAATTACAACATACTTATGTAAACTTGCTCCAAATGAAAACATGAATACAATTTTTTAATTTGGCTTAACATACTTTATTAAAATAACATGATCCATTTATTAAAGTTATCATCAAAAAGATATTTTGCATGGATGATGCAATTAACTTAAAAGAGACGCTTTGATGTTCTCCATACTTGGAAATATATGCAGACACATAATTACATACATGCATCTGTTTACGTGCACTCTCATTGCATTTTATGAGATTGTATCGTCCAGCTAAAAGGGAACATAATGATGACAGAACAAATACCTCAAATCTATTTATTATTTACTAATTGATTGAAGTGATTTTGTTGCGCTGTGGAAGACAAATTCATTACTACTAATCATTATTATTATTCATTAAATACATAATAAAAATTAAATATTTTTAAAAATAACCTGCATTGCTCTCACTTTGCTACTTGCACTTCCTTGGGGCGCTGATACTGATAGAGATGGTACGTAGGAGGGATTCATCTCAGCCACACATCCGGCATGGGGCGCTGCTACAGGTGGTACATGCGATGGGTTCATCATACATTAGTCTGATAAGAGATATATAACAATTTTATTTACAATTGTATTTAAAATTGATTTCTTCATGAAATAAGCTAATAAATATCAAATTAAGACTTGACCGATTTAAATTTAAAATATTATATTTTAATAAAAAATATTGATTGATATTCATAAATTTCTGTGTTTGCGTGGTGAGCTTCTTTTCGGTCATTTTCTGCGCGTACGCAAGAAAACAACATTCATATTTTTTCTGCAAAGTTATCAAGGATCCTCTATATGTGCACTCTCATTGCATTTAATGAGATTGTATCGTCCAGCTAAAAGGGAACATAATGATGACAGAACAAATACCTCAAATCTATTTATTATTTACTAATAATTGATTGAAGTGAGTTTGTTGCGCTGTGGAAGACAAATTCATTACTACTTATCATTATTATTATTATTCATTAAATACATAATAAAAATTAAATATTTTTAAAAATAACCTGCATTGCTCTCACTTTGCTACTTGCACTTCCTTGGGGCGCTGATACTGATAGAGATGGTACGTAGGAGGGATTCATCTCAGCCACACATCCATGGGGCGCTGCTACAGGTGGTACATGCGATGGGTTCATCATACATTAGTCTGATAAGAGATATATAACAATTTTATTTACAATTGTATTTAAAATTGATTTCATCATGAAATAAGCTAATAAATATCAAATTAAGACTTGACTGATTTAAATTTAAAATATTATATTTTAATAAAAAATATTGATTGATATTCATAAATTTCTGTGTTTGCGTGGTGAGCTTCTTTTCGGTCATTTTCTGCGCGTACGCAAGAAAACAACATTCATATTTTTTCTGCAAAGTTATCAAGGATCCTCTATATGTGCACTCTCATTGCATTTTATGAGATTGTATCGTCCAGCTAAAAGGGAACATATTGATGACAGAACAAATACCTCAAATCTATTTATTATTTACTAATAATTGATTGAAGTGATTTTGTTGCGCTGTTGAAGACAAATTCATTACTACTAATCATTATTATTATTCATTAAATACATAATAAAAATTAAACATTTTTAAAAATAACCTGCATTGCTCTCACTTTGCTACTTGCACTTCCTTGGGGCGCTGATACTGATAGAGATGGTACGTAGGAGGGATTCATCTCAGCCACACATCCATGGGGCGCTGCTACAGGTGGTACATGCGATGGGTTCATCATACATTAGTCTGATAAGAGATATATAACAATTTTATTTACAATTGTATTTAAAATTGATTTCATCATGAAATAAGCTAATAAATATCAAATTAAGACTTGACTGATTTAAATTTAAAATATTATATTTTAATAAAAAAAATTGATTGATATTCATAAATTTCTGTGTTTGCGTGGTGAGCTTCTTTTCGGTTATTTTCTGCGCGTACGCAAGAAATACAGCTCCGTTATTCATGATTGAGGTATCGTTATTCATGAATGAGGTATCAAGTTGACCGGGATCATTGTCCGAATAACTGTAAGAAATGTCAATGAAATATATCAACCAGTTCAATTTTTAAAAATAAAAATTCACTTCAGCTCAGAAAATACAGCATCTGCTGCAATTACGGCCGGTTTTAAGCCCCAGAGTTCTGGGGAAGAATATTCTAAAGCCTTCAAATTTCATGCATAGACTCTACCTTAAATTTCTGTGACCGCGCAGCGGAGACTCTACGTGCATAGAATCTATGATCAGAATTGCCGAATTCCTTCCGATTAAAATAAATAAATCCGTTAATATATAACCCATGTACGTTGACGTAGAAACTGTCAACTGAACCCCCTAACATGCCACTGACGCGTGTTATCTTACTCTTATCCATAAATTATGACCATTTAATTTCAAGTAGATCTAGATCTAGTCTATGACAAACTATAACTCATAAGTAGTGCATATTTTTAGATATGGCACAACCCATATTATTATAAACAAAAACATGTTCATTTACCAAGGGTAACCCCTCAGAGAAACATGCAGACACATAATTACATACACGTACGCCTAAATGGTCACCCCTTGCAAACACTCGTGCCAGCGCCAACACCAAGCTGCAGTGCCAGCGCCCCGCTCCGGTCCTGTTGATGACCGAAATCAATCCGTTAATAACATTCAAGCTTATTCTGAAATTGAACGTCTGATCATGGCCATTACAATGACACAAAAACATCATGAAATAAGCTAATAAATATCAAATAAAGACTTGACTGATTTAAATTTAAAATATTAAACTCTGTTCACTCACTTTGAGGTCACATTAATGGGCAAAATCCAAACGAAAATCGTCGAAACTACTGTGTGTGTGAAGTGAGCATAGAATCATCGCATAATACACGTACACGCATGTCCTACACGTACACGCATGGCCTACCATAGGAAGATGCCTCACACGGAGTAAGCCCGCTCCATTGTTACTACGTGATGTGCTACATCCACTGACAGAGTAGATTCTCGTCCGCTGTGTGTCTCTTTGTTGATTGCACAGAGGGCGGATGCACGCCTTGCCGACTCACTCTCGCGGGTTCGTCGCCTCCTTGCAATCCGCGACGCCCGCCGTGCTCTCGTCCGCCCGTCCTCCCCGGGACCCCGAAACCGCCTTTATCGACGTCGACGGCGACCACGACCGAAGTTCGAACGGGGACGTGGCCAAATGGGTAGATTAAAACGCCGTCCGTCCGCGGGACCGCCCGGCGGCGACCGGGGGCGGGCGGGAGGGGAGATTTGGGCGCTGTAAAATGGACCCCAGATACCCCCCTCGACGCCTTAGAGTATTATTATATGGATAGAAGGCTCTTGTTTGTCCTCATGCAGAAGCAAATCGCAATGGGGAGGAATGCCTTTATGGGCCAGAGACCCCTCCTCCAAAAAGGGTTTTAAGTTGCAGGGGTAATTAATTATTTACCAAATATCCGTGGGTCTACCTATGCAGGGCCGCGAACAAATATTACTACCCCCACGCACTCTCACATACTGTCTGTGTTACGAGTTTTATGACATCACCATCACGTGAAAAGGTTAAACCAATCACAAACCTCGACTTGATCCCGTTCGGTTGAATTTGCGGACGCTGCATAATATCTCTCCCTCATGGACTGCTATAAATTGGTCTGTTTGGAGCTGGGTAACAAATGTTGATAACTTTTTTAGTTTACTCTCATACTAAGCAGGCTAAGGGAGCACATTAGATGATTCAAATGCAAGCGAAACTGGGTAGTCGAAATATTACTTTGATAGTGTCAACAAACTGGAATTGTTGCAAGAGACTCATATTCAAATGATTAGTCTCGTCATTCTCCTAGATTACATCAATTTGAGCCGAATTTTCCGCCGTGTTAAACAGGGATTTTTCAACACGGATTGCCATTCATGACGATATCGTCAAACTTGTTAACCAGTAGTTTATACTTCAGTATTTCTCAATTATAACTACACCGAAACAACTCGACGTTCAACTATATTAAAGGCAGTACAAGGACGTCATTGATCTTCATTTAAAGGGCCACTGATCTACAACGAACGTGAGTAGTTCATAAACTGTCAATATTATGAAATATAATCATTTCTATTCAAGATTGTCTCAAAAACCAACTTTGCCCCTAGGTAGAGGTCTGAGGGTGTAATAGAAATCAAAATGTTAATGATTTTTGGATGATGGTAATAAAAACATCAACTATAACAATATATGTTAGATCAAGAAGAATACTGATTAAACTAAATAACAATGATAATGATAACATTAATATTAATAATACATCGAATAAAAAGGTGAAAGGGGATATCGCAGAAGGGAAGGGGCGGTCTCAAAATGGGAGGGTTAGTTGCAAATTATTCTGAACTGAATTATATCTTCATGATTCAGACTGAAAATCGCCACTTTCACCTTGATCCAGATCTTATTTTATGAACCACTCAACCGATAGCTTACACCATTTCTGAACATCAACCATGCCCTATACAACATACACCCCTTATCCCAAAACGTAACTCGATTTAAGAGGTGGGGGGGGGGGGGGAGGGGGTGTTAAAGGAGGGAGGGGGTAGGGTAAAAGCTCTAAATAACATCGTGCACTATAAACATATTTTAGACTGCAAATCATGTCTGTTTCCTGGAATCAGGTTTTATTATATATTTTATTTCAACGATGGCCTAATTTGGTTTCTGATCATTTAAATACGATGACAGTGCATCATCTGACAAATAATCGTCTGCTTGATGATAGCATCAACTTGCGATATACTTAATGTTTCATCTCACTATATTAGCGTTGCTAAGGCGAAGGCAGCCCTTAGCAGCCAAAATTACCGATCTAGCTAATATCACAGCGTAAACTTCAGAGCGCTATAACTTTGTTGTTTTAGAACCAATGATCTTGGAGTTTGCATATGATACACTGTTGCTCATAACCGTGGAATATTTTTTTTTATCCCAATTTATGGAATTATTTTAAAAATAATTTTAAAATACTAGATCTAGATAATAGTATACAGTCTCAGATTTTATTGAATAATAATTTGCCAATATGTGTTTTGCGTGACTGCTAAAGCATGTATATTATGCTACTATGTTTATCAACTAGGGGACCTATGCCCTTAAGTCATAAATGACAGTAATGAGGATTAATGCCTCACAAAAGGGCTCTGATATAGCACATCGACACGGTGTTGATCCTGGGGCCTCACAGTTACGAGGCCATTGCTTTGTCACTGAACCATGACTGTACGCAGCGGGGGCTAGGGTAGGGGGCAGTTTCCATAAATTAAAAAAAAAACAGAAAATGCAATAAATATTCAATAATTTATTGCATTCTACCCCGGTCCCCAACATAAAAAAATCCTCTGGACGGCCATTTATTATGGCTCAAGGCATGGGCACACAGAAGATTTTTTTATGTTGGGGACCGGGTAGAATGCAATAAATTATTGAAAATTTATTGTATTTTCTGTTTTTTTTTTTAATTTATGGAAACTGCCCCCTACCATAGCCCCCGCTGCGTACAGTCATGGTTCAGTGACAAAGCAATGGCCTCGTAACTGTGAGGCCCCAGGATCAACACCGTGTCGATGTGCTATATTAGTGCCCTTTTGTGAGGCATTAATCCTCATTACTGTCATTTATGACTTAAGGGCATAGGTCCCCTAGTTAATAAACATAGTAGCATAATATACATGCTTTAGCAGTCACGCAAAACACATATTGGCAAATTATTATTCAATAAAATCTGAGACTGTATACTATTATCTAGATCTAGTATTTTAAAATTATTTTTAAAATAATTCCATAAATTGGGATAAAAAAAAATATTCCACCGTTATGAGCAACAGTGTATGAAACATATCTTTGGCAATTTTTGTTAATTTGTCTTAAAGTCAGCATTCATCATGATTTGATGAAATATTGAGAAATATGTATTTTGGGGCAATTCATATTTTCAGAAAATATTTTAAAAATCCAAATTTCTGGTTCAAAATCAAATAGGATAAATCGTATCGCTTAGTACCCGAAGACCTTTCAAATGTGATATTTTTGTAAGGAAGGTATTTCTCTTTCATATGACACCTCACACATGGTAAAATTAGGTTCCCTTGAGAAATTGTTCAAGAGTAGTTATACATGGCGGCAATTTTGTTAAATGGAAACGAGTTTGATGCATGCGTTTAAAGGTAAAGACCAGTTATGGTCATGCGATTGCATTGTGAAAGAAACGTTGTGGAATCGATCAAAAAAGGTTGATCATCTAGCATCTAGCATCTGCAAGGTTCTGGAATCATCAAAATGATAAGAAATTTGGCCCATTCTTATTATAGTTACAAGCACTATACACAGAAAGATGTATATGGAACTACCCTATATCTCTCACAGACCATGAGAGAAACAAATTTACCAAATATATGAATTAGTAGGCGGTTTCCCGGCAAATTTTTTATCATCATGTATTAGTCAAAACATATTCTTTCACATGATTGGTAATAAGAGCTTCCATTTCATTTTTTGAAATTGGGGCGTTTTCAATACTGGTCTTTACCTTTAAGAGAGGTGACTTATTCTACAGGAAAATTAATTATTGTCATAATGATTTTAACTCAAGATTGTACCGTGATACAAAGGGGTGTACATCCTGATCTTATGCAAACTACAATGATCTCTCACAAGCGACAAAAGATGGCACGAAATGATATCAAAATTTATTTTGATATTTTTTATCAGGCATAACCCAAATGTAATCTGCATATGATATTGATAAATCTGTTATTCATCAACTACCAAAACTCTCTTAAGTAGATTGGTCACTTCTTCATGTCGTAATTAGGTAACCTGCGTTTAAGGCGGATAATTCTAACTATTTATACCCTAATTATGGCATGGAAGTAAAACTTATTATTTATTGCATTTTACCCCTTAAACAATTGTTTGTCAAGACTTTTTTTCTTCGAAGACTATCGAATACACTGCTAATATGGCACACAACTGAATAGTCTCCCTGTGCCATATTGTATTTGCATGTATCATGAGATAGATATATGATATGTATATATGTCAGAGGCTTCCATATTATTTAACTACATCGGTGTTCAAAGGTGTTTCCATGGAGCTTATCAAGACCAAAAAAGGGATTATTCGTTAAAGCAATCGTACTGTACAAAGTAATCCTTCAGTCATTTGGTGCGTGCCTATTGTTTTGTATAAGCTTCCACGTTTGGCAAACGAGCGACCATCTAGAGGGGAAATTGAAGCCATCTTAGTGTTAGTAAAATGGTCTGCATTCATACAGAGGATGTAATATGATAGTTAAGGCTCTTTTTTCCCTTATGCAGAAACAAATCGGAATGGGGAGGGATGCCTATGTGTCCCAGTGACCCCCTCCACTCCTAGAGAGGGTTTGTAGTTCAAGGGAAATGACTGTATATCATTGGCCCTTAAAATGCAGATCAATGACGTCATTCAATGCCTTTAGTTTAGATGAACAACGAGTTGTTTCGATGTAGTAATAATTGAGAAGAAACTGAAGTGTATAAACTACTGGTTAACAAGTCTGACGATATAGTCCGTGATGGCAATCCGTGTAGAATAATTAAACACGACGGAACATAGGGTTCAAATTGGTGTAAACTGGGAGACTGACGAGACTAATTATTTAAACATGAGTCTCTTTAAACAATTCCAGTCTTTTGACATTATTCAAGTCAACTTCTGACTGTCCGGACTAGCCTGCTTAATATAAGAGTAAACTCGAAAAGTTATCATAATTCGGTACCCAGCTCCAAACAGACAAATTTATAGCAGTCCACAAGAAAGAGATAACATGCAGTGTCAGCAATTATACATTCTTCTTCTTTTTCACTATAAGTACAGGCCACCGCGCCG